AGAGATGTTTGCACCTATCGAATAACTGGCCATCCTGTCCCAACTTATGCATTTGTCTGTGACATGTACCTCTGACTCATTGGAACGGAGACACCGAAATTCGTTGAGTGGAAAAATTCTAGGAAACAAAAATGAAAAAAACAACTCAGGGGTCACACGATCCAGGGGAATGGTAACTTAAGAAGATGCCTCGAATCAACCAGTTGGAAATCAGAGACCTCAAGACACCTTCCAAGAAACAACTCATCTTATTAAATTTTTTTCTCTTTATTCCTGATCCCAGAGTTTTTAGTTTTTTTAATTTCATAGAAATTCCACAACTCCCTCGTATTGCCCATTTATTCTCGACAAAATTATTTTCTCAACGTGAGAATAAAAATTTCCAAGTCAACACTGTTAAAATGCACGGCTCAAGGAGGAGAGAAAGAGGGCTTTGCATTTCGTGAATTTTGGTTTTTCGGGACAACGTTATCGTTCTGCTCTATCTTAACGATCCCAGATCCGTCCTCGTCTCTTTTCTTTTTCGTTTACCCCTCGAGCCACATATACTCCACACACAGACGTTAATATCTATCTAAGATCTTCACCGTGGACCCGGGTAGTGGCTCGTCGTCAAGAAGAGGTCGACTTTGGACACTGAAAGGCTACGAAAAGACGAGGGAAAACGAAAAAAAGCGAACAAAAATCATGAAACAAAAAAACGTACGTAAAATATATGACTCAGAGAAAAGGGAAAAAATGCTGAGGGGGGGGGGACGGGCCATTTCATATCGATTCCAGGCATCTCGCCCTTATTTTACATTCCCGCACATTTTTCTTTCAAACCACAATATCCACTCCTCGAAACTCCCCGGGAGAAAAAAAAACAAGAGGGAAGGTGAACTTAATTTAATGAACTGAATTAACGATACATGGTGTTTTTTATTCCACACATCAAACGAGTCGAGAGAAAAAAAAATTATAGAAACGTCTTTCGTCACGACATTCATTCGGGGGAGAGGTCACAGGGGCTCAGGGTTGACACGAGGCTGCGGCGACGGACTCGAAATTTATTGAATACTTTTTTTTTTCAAACGATCCCGGGGCATGAGAGCTCACCTCCGCGAGACTCGTTTGATATTTTAATGGCGTCTATACACAGTGAGAATATTCCGTATTTTCTCCGATAAAATATACCTCCGGTGTATCACAATGGAACAGGCGAAAAGTCTTTATTTTCAGTTTTATTTTATTCACTTTATTCAGCCTCCCCCCCCCCCCCCGGCCGCTCTCTTCCTCTTCGCGTTTCAGTACGTGTCGCGCGGGTATTTAGCCTGCACTGCGGTGGAGCCCTTTTTTCGTTTAATTAATGATTACCAGGAAACGTGTCTGGGGCTAGCCTCCGTACAGTACAAGCGTAAACCCCCAACAACAACCTCGACATGTTTTTTTTTACTTCTTTTCCATTTCTCCGTCCATATATTTTATTTAATTGTTTTACCACACGTGGCATATAAAAAGAAATGGATGGAGAAGTAAAAGGCGGGGGAAATGACAAGAATGTTTTGGTTTCGTGGCTTTTTAGTGGAATTTTGAGAAATCTGGGCATTGAAAAATCATATGGTCCATTGACTTTTTTCAAAATTTTGTGATAAAATCGGTAGAGACTATAAATTTTTATTGAATTATTCAGTTCAAGTCAGGGACATTGAGGTAAGTATTTCTTGAATTTCAAATCAATTGGATGAATATTTCTACTGTAGTTTAGGAAATTTTGTCGTTAAAAAATTGCATATTCCATTGACTTTCGTCAAACTTTTATCATAAAATCTATGGAGACTGTCAATTTTAATTGAATTAATTAGTTAAAATGATACATTCTTGAATTTCAAATCGATTTGATGAATATTTTCAATGAAATTTCAAAAAATGTCGTCGTTAAAAAATCATATATTTCAGATAAATCAATGAAAATTGTTAATTTCAGTCCAATGATTCAATTAAAATTAGGAAAAGGTGATTATATTCTTAAATATTGAATCAATTGAAACTGATTTGAAAACAACTACTAAACAGCAAATAACATTCTCTTTTTACCACGTATTCAGTAAAAAATGCAATAATTCTTGCAGATATTACAATATTTTCATGAAATATTTACACAAAATACTGTTAGAAACACAAACCTAACAAATCTTCAATGAAAATTCACTTTCCCTCAACTTAAGATTGAATCACTCGCAGAATGTCTCATTCCCCTTGGACATAAAAAAACCGTATTTTTCATATTACGCGATCATTGGTATTTCAATTACAGCTTGAATTTGCAAATTCAAACCAACAATCAAGCATTACATTCAATTAAATTTTCGATAGATCAAGAACTCCGAAAAAAAACTCCCCGAATTTTCACAATTTCTAATAATTTAATCAACTTATAAAGGAGAATGGAATAAAACAATCAAAAAAATAAGGAAATTTTCCTCTCATTCTCGAGTTATTGGAGTTATTAACAACAAAATTCTTACCCCTCTCTCCCCTCCATATACATTTCATGCAAATGAATCATAAAACAACTCGAGAATAATTTTCTCCCAATGATTGAACCTATTAAAATTCTTCCCAAAACTATGTATCCACGTTTTTCCCCTTTCCCTCCCTTCCCCATCAATAATTTTATTTAATTGTTTCACCTCACGTGGCACAAAAAACCAAAAAGTAAAAGTAAAATCCCAAGGAAAATAACCAGAACATTCCTCACGGTCACTGACTATCGGGGAAACGCTAGACTCAGCGATAAGAATCGCTCCGAATGAAATATCGAGATATTAAATTTGGGAGGACGCGATCTGGCGATTAGAATGCGAGCATATCTGTAACGAGTCAGTCTCAAAGAGTCCAACAGTGTCTCATTGGAGGAGTTGAACAGAGGGTGTATTCTCCACATAATACATTATAAATACATACACTTAAGAAGAGTTCAACGAATGTGTGTGGCACTGAGGCGCGTCGACTGAGCCAATTAGCGATGGCCGATAATGAATAGGCTACTGAGAGATGCACGCGCTCTCTTTCTCCCCCTCCTCCTCTCTCTCTCTCTCTCTCTCTCTCTCTCTCTCCCTCTCGAGGGACGGCGAAACGAATGAACTTAAAAAAACGTTGAGAATGATAGGTCTACCGGGGGGAAAAAGCCTCCCGACATGGATATTCTGTTTCCATGTGACAATACAAATAGTTTAAGCGCATGAGTCTTTCTGACATTGAACCGAAACCGATCATTATCCGGAATGAAAAACTTTGAGGGAATATCCAAGGTACAATATATCCATATCCAGGGAGGTAGGTCGAGTGGTCGATAAATGTTCGGTAACGTAATACATCGAGTTGCCATTGTGCCTCGCCGGCATTGTCGTACAAATGCTGATGGGAAATCTAATTCTTGCCTTTGGCCTGCAGACGATCCTTTAATGACACCGGGACACAGAAATGTTTCATTTAAAAGGAAATCGAAGACACGGTGTTTCGTATGGAGGGTACATATGTTGGTTGTTACAATGGACAGAGAGAGAGAGAGAGAGAGAGAGAGAGAGAGAGAGAGAGAGAGAGAGAGAGGGAGGGAGAGGTGGAAAAAAATCACAGTATGTGTCTTTGGGATCCTCTCGACGAGGTTGCGAACCTCACTTCCGGCGCTTCCTGTGTCACACGCCGTTGAACACGCTCCACCCTCCAACGATTAATACTTTGTCAGCGGATTCCTCTTATGTGTACAGCACGTCCGGGTATTAGACGCCTTAATTGTTTATACAACAGGGATGGCACTTCAGGGAAATCTCGAGGGGATGTGTCACAGGGAAACAAGATTTTCGCGGGTCGGGGTGGAGGGAACGTGTTGTCGAATTGAGGAGGTTCTTGGGGAAGAGTATTTCTTCTTGTTTTTGGGGAGTTGATCAGGTGGAGAGAAGATTTTGGAGGCAATCTCCACTGAACTTTAGAAGGTAAATAGTTGTAGTTGTAGCGAGTGGCGTTTCTACTCAAATGTAAGGAGATTTCGTCATTAAAAAATGTCACAAACCGGGAAAATGGAAATTTAATGGATAGTTTAGTAATCTTTTTGGGAAAGTAACACTGGATTGGGAATGAGTAAAAGAATGGTTTGGCTCCGGGTATTAGATGCCTTAATTGTTTATACAACAGGGATGGCACTTCAGGGGAATCTCCAGGGGATGTGTCACAGGGAAATAAGATTTTCGCGGGTCGGGGTGGAGGGAACTTGTTGTCGAATTGAGGAGGTTCTTGGGGAAGAGTATTTCTTTTTGTTTGGGGAGTTGATGATCAGGTGAGAGAAGAATTTGGAGAGAGACTGAGAGACTGATTCATTTATTCCACACGAGACTCGTTAACTATTAACGAATGGTGGAGTTGAATATGACCAAATGAATATTCGTTAACAGTTAACGAATGGCTCACTTGAAAGGTGAAAATCGAGTCAAACAAGGCCTATCAAATGTGCATTTGTTAACTATTAATGAATGAACATTTGGTGAGACCGAATAGACCCTCGTCTCCAACCTAATCCATTCGTTAACAATAACTAATCGTTTCTACCAGTGTAGTACGTATGGCGAGTGACGTTTTACCCCTTAAGCCCGCCGTGAAGACTGCAGTGAAGACTAATCGCTGAATTTTTATTATTCCTACTGTATATCATTTCCGGGCCATTAAAAGTTAGTGAATCGCGTTATCATTTATGGCGCGGCAAGGTTAGTGTAAAAAGGGCGCCACCCTTGAGGGGTTGAGAATATTTTTTCTGTCACGGACGAAATTGATGAATTTTGTCGACTTTTTCAAATGCTACCTATAAAATACTGTATCGCCCTCAATTCCGTCGAGTGCGCAACCCAAAAGGACGAATAAAAAATCATTTTTCAATTGCCTCGACACCGATTTCTCCATCCACTCAGAACTTCCACTTCCTCAAATTACCCTAAACCATAACATTATCAACTTCTGAAGTAACTCACGTTGTGAAGTTTATAATACAGTCCACACGCGTTGCAAACCGGCTCCCCAGCCTGATTCCTCCGCCAGAGTGTTGTCGTCGCTGTTTTACAGTTTGCGCAACTCGTGCCTGCCCTCCGTGCGGCGCTCTGCAGCGACTGAAACCACAAAAGCAAGAAATGAAAAAAAAAATAGTTATAATCACCATCAATTAATCATCCCCCCGGCGCACAAGACAGAATCAATATTCCTCAAGAACAAGAGAAACCCCGGATGATTGACAGAAAAATGAAAATCCCAGAGTAAACGATCAGTCAAATTTGGACAGAGAAAGATTGACGGACACCTCGGCACTCTCCCCTTAATCCGTGTCTCATGTCCAAGGAGCGAAGGACAGTGGAGATGCGCCTCGAAAAAAATAAAGTACATGAGAACGCGTGACTCCTACGGACGTGGGCTAAAATGAAACCGGATAAAAAAAGGATTCTCTTGCCACCTGTATCTCCGATCCCTCGAGTGGCAAACACTTAACTAAAAAGGTCTATTATACCCCTCCCCGAGGCCCCGGTATATGGCTTATTTACCGTTTCCCATACGCATACTTGTGTGCCCTATTGAAAGGAGAGGTGGGAGGCCCACAACGGAGGAGAACAGAGCGCGAGGGCAATATACCTGAATACTTTTCCTCACGAGCCCTGACACAGACCATCAGGAACGCAAATCCCCCGAAGAAACTCCACTATACTTGTGACTGGAGCACTTAACCCCCAAGATGACATGCTACATTGGAGGCGACCCGAAGCATTCCGATCGAAGACGACGGAGTAAAAAAAATTTTTTTTTCTCCAAGAGACGAAGGAGAATGAGAACGAGAATATAAGCAGAGAGAAGCGAGGAGAGAGGACAGCGGCGAGAGGCTCGCTTGTATAACGTTTCTTATATGTCACTGTATATATTTTCTATAAAACGTTTCTCTCTGTCTACCTGCCATTGTAGACGTCCTTCGAAACGATCTGTTGAACGCTCACGCGCGGGAGTTATTGGTATTTTATTGAGTAGCTCTTTCACTCTTTGAACAGTGCATCAAAATGTAATCGTTTATGTATGGGCTTTTATGCATTCTGTATGATGTCGTTGGATGGAGTTATGGGTGATGTTAAAGGGTAGAACATTTAATGATACAGCTGGTGGCTGAGAATTATTGGGATCTCAGAGGTTGGAGAAATCTTAATTAATGGATTGAGGTGGGAATTATTTTTTTAGTTGCAATTATTGGTGGGGAGGTGGGGGGGTTTATAGGGCAATGGTCTTTGTCAAATTATTAAGTTCGTATTATTCTTGATTTTATGGGCATTTTCCTTCAAAGTCAGACTGGAATGCTTTTATTTTTTGGGGTTTTTCAAGGGATCTTGGTTCTTGAAGGGAGAATATTTGAATACTTTGATGAAGATAATTATTGTCTGGAATATTTTGGGAAATATTGTTGGAATTTATGATTCCATCTCAATGTCATTTATAAGGAGTTTGTTATCGTTAGTATATCCGTTGACTACTTGAGACAATTAATATTGAATTAATGTTCAATTCGTAATGCATTTTACTGCTCTTCAATTTTCTCAGTGCGAAGGCACAAATTTTTTAAATTTAAATTTACGATTTTAGATATTTTTGGCTGAAATTTCGTGTAAATTCAGCTCAATCATTCCATGGAAATTCATAGAAATCAGAAAAATGTTATATTTTATTAGAATTTAAGTAAATTATAGAATTCTCATTTTCATGCTGCTTAAAAATTTCGAATTTCATTGAATTCCTAGCGAAATATGAAACTTCATGGTTTTTCCCCTTAAATCGAATTCAATATCACTCTCCTGAGACCAACAGCTATAAACTGCCCATGAAATGAGATTTTATAATTAAAAATTGAACAATTTTGGAGATATTTACTTTGAAATGAAGTAACAAGTAAGAAGAAAACTGAAATTTCTATTTCCTCTCGCTTTTAAACATTTTTTGGGGGACATTTTATATAAATTCAGTTCAATAATTAATGATCAGTTGAATCATTTAGTTTGTTCCATAAACATTCATAGAAGTCAGAAAGATTCTAAGAGACATATTTTCAAATTTTCAATTAACTAAATATTTTGCGTAATTATGGACTGAATACTGAGATTTTAATTGTAATTCTAAGAAAATTAAAGAATTCTCATCTGCGCGCTGCTTAGAAATTTGGAATTTCATAGAATTTTTAGTGAAATCTGCAATTTCGGGGTTTGTCCCCTAAAATTGCATTCAATACCACTCTCCTGAGATCTACACCTATAAACTGCCCATGAAATGAGATTTCATAATTAAAAATTGAACAATTCTGGACATATTTACGTTGAAATGAAGTAACAAATTACTTATTCAAAGGACGATGTAGGTTAGAAAACTGAAATTTCTGTTTCCCGTTACTTTTAAATATTTTTGGCGGACACTTTCTGTAAATTCTGTTCAATAATTAATGATCAGTTGAATCGATCAATTCATTCCATAAAAATTCATAGAAGTCAGAAAAATTTTAAGAAATGTATTTTCAAATGTTTAATTAACTGAATATTTAGCGTAATTAGGGACTGAATACTGAGATTTTAATTATAATTCTAAGTAAATTGGAGAATTCTCATTTGCGCGCTGTTGAGAAATTTGGAATTTTATTGAATTCTTAGTGAAATCTGAAATTTCACCATTTTTCCCCTAAAATCGAATTCAATACCACTCTCCTGAGACCTACACTTATAAACTGCCCATGAAATGAGATTTCATAATTAAAAATTGAACAATTCTGGAGATATTTACTTTGAAATGAAGTAACAAATTACTTATTCAAAGGACGATGTAGGTTAGAAAACTGAAATTTCTGTTTCCCGTTACTTTTAAATATTTTTGGCGGACACTTTCTGTAAATTCTGTTCAATAATTAATGATCAGTTGAATCGATCAATTCATTCCATAAAAATTCATAGAAGTCAGAAAAATTCTAAGAAATGTATTTTCAAATGTTTAATTAACTGAATATTTAGCGTAATTAGGGACTGAATACTGAGATTTTAATTATAATTCTAAGTAAATTGGAGAATTCTCATTTGCGCGCTGTTGAGAAATTTGGAATTTTATTGAATTCTTAGTGAAATCTGAAATTTCACCATTTTTCCCCTAAAATCGAATTCAATACCACTCTCCTGAGACCTACACTTATAAACTGCCCATGAAATGAGATTTCATAATTAAAACTTGAACAATTCTGGAGATATTTACTTTGAAATGAAGTAACAAATTACTTATTTAAAGGACAATGTAGGTTAGAAAACTGAAATTTCTGTTTCCCGTTACTTTTAAATATTTTTGGCGGACACTTTCTGTAAATTCTGTTCAATAATTAATGATCAGTTGAATCGATCAATTCATTCCATAAAAATTCATAGAAGTCAGAAAAATTCTAAGAAATGTATTTTCAAATGTTTAATTAACTGAATATTTAGCGTAATTAGGGACTGAATACTGAGATTTTAATTGTAATTCTAAGTAAATTGGAGAATCCTCATCTGCACGCTGTTGAGAAATTTGGAATTTCATTGAATTCTTAGTGAAATCTGAAATTTCAGCATTTTTCCCCTAAAATCGAATTCAATACCACTCTCCTGAGACCTACACCTATAAACTGTCCCTGAAATGAGATTTCAAATTAAAAATTGAATAATTATCGCCGAAAGGATTCTGCTTAACGTAATTGCCATTTCATTCATCAATGTCCGTTTTGTACACAAGATTGTTTTTTTTCATCCGCAGTTTCTTGTGCAGTATTCAGTGGATTTACTCTCGGAGATTAAAGGGAGGTGGGTAAAAGGGGTAGGTACTCTAGGAAAGGAAAAAAAAATAGAGGAACGATTGCATCAAGGGTTGGTGGAGGCCTCCGTGTGTAATCATGGTTTATCGCTGGGATCTTATCGGCGCTGAACCGCGTTTGCCTGTGGGCAAAAGGGATCTAGTGTGAAGGACGTTATATAGTGTGCCTAGCATGTCCGTACGTTGAGGTGGGCGAGAGTGGAAAGGGTCAAGAAAGCCCCCCAAATCAATACCCAACGCGGCACGCGGCATACAGAGGCTTTTTATCTGCTCTAGATCTTTGACACCCTGAAAATCATCGAATGGCCCCAATGCGGTCAATTCTTTTGCCTCACCACTCCATCATGGTGATGCCTGTGGACTAATGGTTATTAAATCCGGCACTGGAGGTAATCTGGTACTATGGACGCGGGGGGGTTGATTCGGAGGGAATATGGAGATGATGAATGAGCATTTGGTGGGTTCGGGGA